ACGATCTCAGCTCACTGCAAGCTCTGCCTCCTGGGTTCACGCCATTCTCCGGCCTCAGCCTCCCGAGTAGCTGGGACTACAGGCGCCCGCCACTGTGCCCGGCTAATTTTTTGTATTTTTAGTAGAGACGGGGTTTCACCGTGTTAGCCAGGATGGTCTCGATCTCCTGACCTTGTGATCCACCTGCCTCGGCCTCCCAAAGTGCTGGGATTACAGGCGTGAGCCACCGCGCCCGGCCTATATCCTCTTTACTACTGGAAACTAGGCCCTTAGTGTCTCTAAACCTAATAGTATTAGAGAACCAATTCCAGAAGTCCCAGAACCAATGCAGAGAACTCATCTGTAAGACCTTCCTCTGCAACAACTTCCGGCACCAAAATTTGTCAGTTGGGCTGATCTAGAGAAGCGAACCAGTGGGAGATAGAAGAGATTTACTATCGAGAACTGACTTCCGTGCTTGCAGTGGCTGACGCGACGCGTCTCAGAAGATTGTGAGTGGCGTGGAACTTCGCTGGCACATTTCCTGTCCACTTCAGTGTCTGTGGAGGTGGCCAAGGGCTGATGCCCCTGCACTTTCTGGAAGCCTCAGGTTTGCTTTTGAAGACTCTGACTGCTCTGACCTCACTCATGCACAGATACACACTCGGCTTTTCAGGTCACACTTTTGGGAACAATCACTTGACAGGATGAAAGTTTCCCAAATCATCAAGTCCTAGTTCCTTTTTGGTTTTTTTTTTTTTTTGAGACGGAGTCTCGCTCTGTCGCCCAGGCTGGAGTGCAGTGGCCGGATCTCAGCTCACTGCAAGCTCCGCCTCCCGGGTTTACGCCATTCTCCTGCCTCAGCCTCCCGAGTAGCTGGGACTACAGGCGCCCACCAACCCGCCCGGCTAGTTTTTTTTTTTTTTTTGCATTTTTTATCTTCACCGTGTTAGCGGAGTCTCGATCTCCTGCCTTGATCCCCGTCCCGCCCCCAAGGCTGGATCGCTGCCACCGCGCCCCCCAGCTTCGTGCCGGATCTCAGCTCACTGCAAGCTCCGCCTCCCGGGTTCACGCCATTCTCCTGCCTCAGCCTCCCGAGTAGCTGGGACTACAGGCGCCCGCCACCTCGCCCGGCTAGTTTTTTGTATTTTTTAAGTAGAGACGGGGTTTCACCGTGTTAGCCAGGATGGTCTCGATCTCCTGACCTTGTGATCCGCCTGCCTCGGCCTCCCAAAGTGCTGGGATTACAGGCTTGACCCACCGCGCCCAGCCTCCTTTTTGTTTAAGAGCGCTCCCCTCAGTCTCTCCTTCTGCTCACATTTCACCATAAGCAGCAGGAACAGGCCAGGCTGCATCTTCCACAGTCTGGAGATCTCCTCCGCTGAATATCCAGGTCTATGCTCACATTTCACCATAAGCAGCAGGAACAGGCCAGGCTGCATCTTCCACTGTCTGGAGATCTCCTCAGCTGAACACCCAGGTTCACCTGACAAAGTCTCTGTCCGACAGCAGGACACAGCCCCATGGCGTCTCCCGCCACCGCCTAGCAGGGGCCTGTCTCCCTCCACTCTGTCAGGACGTGCTCCTCACATCCTCTGGGCTCTCACCCGGAGTGCTTTCTTTCCGTTTTCTTTTTAAAAAATGTTTGTAAGTTTATTAGTAAGGCTCCTTTTGAAAGGTATATGGAAAATGAAACTCAAGATATAATCCTTACATGAAACAACTCATCTCTCCAGGAGTCTTAGTAGAAAACGCATGATTTGGAAAGATCCTGCCGGGCGCGGCGGCTCACGCCTGGAATCCCAGCACTTTGGGAGGCTGAGGTGGGCAGATCGCCTGAGGTCAGGAATTCGAGACCAGCCTGACCAACATGGAGAAACCCTGTCTCTCCTAAAAATACAAAAATTAGCTGGGTGTAGTGGCAGGCGCCTGTAATTCCCGCTACTTAGGAGGCTGAGACAGGAGAATCGGTTGAACCTGGGAGGCGAAGCTTGCAGTGAGCCCAGGTAGCACCACTGCAACTCCCGCCTGGGCAACAGAGCGAGGCTTTGTCTCAAAAAAAAAAAAAAAAAAAAAAAAAAAAAGAAACCCGGGCGCGGTGGCTCACTCCTGGAATCCCAGCACTTTGGGAGGCCGAGGCAGGCGAATCATGAGGTCAGGAGATCAAGACCATCCTGGCTTACACGGTGAAACCCCACCTTCTATTAAAAATACAAAAAAATTAGCCAGGTGAGGTGGCGGCGCCTGTAGTCCCAGCTACTTGGGAGGCTGAGGCAGAAGAATGGCGTGAACCCGGGAGGCGGAGCTTGCAGTGAGCCGAGATCCTGCCACTGCACTCCAGCCTGGGTGACAGAGCGAGCCTCCGTCTCAAAAAAAAAAAAAAAAAGAAAAAGAAAAAGAAAAAGAACACAAAAGCTCTATGGCTTCCCTTCTGAAAAGATGTTCTCTCCAGAAAATGCCTGAGCTATGTCTGCATCTGTGAGATCGTTACAGCTGTGAGTCAGGTGGTCACAAACGGGAACACCTGTCTAGGATGTTCACATAAGCAGACAGTCCAGAAAACAAATGAGGGTGAAAATAAAGCTGTACTACTTGTAGAGAAAGTCCTAAAAATACAGAATTCACTAAGAGCTTGGAGCAGAAGACCTAGGAGATAAAAACCAGTGAAAAGTAATTAGAAAAATTCTTCACTCTTTGATCGGGACCATCCTGGCTAACATGGTGAAACCCCGTCTCTACTAAAAATACAAAAAACTAGCTGGGCATGGTGGTGGGCGCCTGTGGTCCCAGCTACTCGGGAGGCTGAGGCAGGAGAATGGTGTGAACCCGGGAGGTGGAGCTTGCAGTGAGCCGAGATCGTGCCACTGCACTACAGCCTGGGCGACAGAGCAAGGCTCTGTCTCCAAAAAAAAAAAAAAAAAAAAAAAAAAATTCACTTCTTACTGAAGGAAAGAGAATAAAAGTAATTAGAAAAAACATATGGGTAAGATTACCAATAACTAGTATTTAAACAAATCGAGGGTTCAAGATGGATTCCGCCTCTCCATGAAGAATAAATACCAACTAACCCCACTTCTTACTCCCCTAAGGGAGAAACCTGGTCAATTTGGCTTTGGTCTGACACCCTCACACTGTTGTGGCTTAGGTCTAACCATCTCGGCTCCGTCTGTTTCAGCTGCATTTACCAGCATCCCGCTCCTATTTCCTAACCTTCGACACTTTTAATGTCCGTATTTCTACAGTCTGTTTCAAGGCTCTCTAGGCCTTTCCTGTTGTGATCCTCAGAACTCTTCCACCCTCTACTCATTACCTGATTCTAAAACTACTTCCGCATTTTTTAGCTGTGTGTTACACCAGCACCCCACTCCTGGTACCACAATCCATTTTTTTTTTTTCTATTTTTTTGAGACAGAGTCTTGCTCTGTCACCTAGGCTGGAGTGCAGTGGCATGATCTCCACTCACTGCTGCAACCTCTGCCTCCCGGATTCAAGCAATTCGCTGCCTCAGCCTCCCAAGTAGCTGGGATTACAGGCACCTGCCACCATGCCTGGCTAATTTTTGTGCTTTTAGTAGAGACAGGGTTTCACCATCTTGGCCAGGCTGGTCTTGAACTCCTGATTTCGTGATCCACCTGCCTCGGCCTCCCAAAGTGCAAGGATTAAGGTGTGAGCCACCGCGCCCGGCCTCCATATTATTTTTCTAATGCTGCTGTCACAATTTACTAAAAGCTTAGCAGCTTAAAACATAGTTCTGTGGAAGTCCAGAAATCTGGTGGACTCGACCAGGTTCTCTGCTTAGGGTCTCATGGCTGAAATCACAGTGTTAGTGGCCGGGATCTTCTTAGGAGACTCTGGGGAAGAACCTGCTTCTGGGCTTGGTCAGGTGTTGGTAGAATCTGGCTGCTTGTGGCTGTTGGACTAAGGTTTCCTTGTGTGACCTCCTCCATCTTCAAGCCAACAATGAGACGTCGAATCCTTCCTGTGCTTTGAATCTCCCTGTCTTCTGCGTTCCATTCCTGTTTTTGTTTTTTGTTTTTTTTTTTCCTGAGACGGAGTCTTGCTCTGTCGCCCAGGCTGGAGTGCAGTGGCTCCATCTCAGCTCACTGCAAGCTCCTCCTCCTAGGTTCATGCCATTCTCCTGCCTTAGCCTCCCAAGTAGCTGGGACTACAGGCGCCCACCACCACACCTGGATAATTTTTTTTAATTTTTAGTAGAGACGGGGTTTCACCGTGTTAGCCAGGATGGTCTCAATCTCCTGACCTCGTGATCCGCCTGCATCGGCCTCTCAAAGTGCTGGGTTTATAGGCGTGAGCCACCGTGCCTGGCTTTTTTTTTTTTTTTTTTTTTTTTTTTTTTTGAGATGGAGTCTTGCTCTGTCAGCCAGGCTGGAGTACAGTGGTGCAATCTTGACTCACTGCAACCTCCCCCTCTGGGGTTGAAGCAATTCTCTTGCCTCAGCCTCCTGAGTAGCTGGGATTACAGGCACCCGCCACCACGCCCGGCTAATTTTTGTATTTTTAGTAGAGATGGGGTTTCGCCATGTTGGCCAGGCTGGTCTCGAACTCCTGGCCTCCAGTGACCTCTCAGAACAGAAAGTACAAACAGCTGTGGAACTTGCCTCCTGGGTTCCTGCCATTCTCCCGCCTCAGCCTCCCAAAATGCTGGGTTTATAGGCATAAGCCACTGCACCCGGCCCCGTTTCTGCTCTTAAGGGCTCAAGTGATTAATTTGGGCCCACCCAAATAAGATAGGCTCTATTTTAAGGTCAACTGATTAGCAGTGTCAATTCCATCTGTAAATTCCTTTTGTAGGGCAATGAGGGCTGAGGCTGGGACCATCTCAGCCACTTGGCCCCCAACCGCTCCATCCTTGGCCACCCCGTCCTGTTCCCAGAGCTTGCCTGGCACAGCTGGCAGCCGTAGATGAGCTGGAGGTAGGAGTTTGGTGCTGGGGGTGGGAACACCTGTGCTAGGGGCAGCCGCACCTTAGGAGGATCCCAAGACCCTCCCCGCAGGCTCACCTCGGCCGCCCTGCGGTGGTCGTCACCGTTGCCCAGCATGCGTGCGTCCACACCCAGACAGCGGAGGCTCCGTGCCAGCCCCTGCAGCATGTTGTCACACACCACGCGGAAGGCCCTGGCCGGGACCTGAGGGGCGGCGCCCTCAGCCACAGCAGCCACAGGGACCTACGGTGAAGCCCTGGTCAGCAGTCCCACGGTCACCCCACCCAGCCCCTCACAGCCTCAGAGAGCGAGGGCCCTGAGGCTGTGTGGCCAGCTCTGTCTCTGTTTTATCTTCAGAAGAGGAGCACTGTGTGTGCTGTGCATAAAACAGCAGAAATGCAGACAACATGCAACGAAACCATCCCCGGGGGGCTCCGGTGCCGGTGCTGGGGGGTCTCCACGTGTGTGTTGGGGTGGCGCGTATGCCCTACAGAGGGGCGGGGATCACGGGGAGGGGGCTGGACAGGGGGGCGGGGATCACGGGGAGGGGGATAGACAGAGGGGTGGGGATCACGGGGAGGGGGATAGACGGAGGGGTGGGGATCATGGGGAGGGGGCTAGATGCTGCCTTGGGCCATGGGAGGAGGTTGCCAGGCCCAGTGTCAGGAGGGGACTGGGGCACTCAGGGACACGGCTGCCTCCTGAGCAGTGGCTCCCCAGGCAAGGGCAGCCCCCATGACAGTCATGCAGGTAGTTCACCAGGACTTTGCTCCCCTCTCACTCCAGGGGCCGGGGGTCCAGTGTGGAGGAGCAGGGCCCCCTCCACACACTCTGACCCAGCGGCCTTGTCTCTATGCAGGTCCTTGGTTTATGGACGGGGACCTCCTTCCCCAAGAATCCTGACAAATGGACCCTGCGGGGTTTCACCCACCTGCCTGGGTGCGGCTGAGGCTGATGCTTTCTGCAAGCCGGGTGGCTTCTGAGCCCCTGGTCTCTCTGTGTGCCTGGGCCTCCGGCTCCCGGCCAGGTCCTCCGACAGGTGGAAGCGGGCAGGCTCTCTGCACAGGGCTTGGTGCACCTCCAGCAGGCAGTAGGCATCGGCAGCTGTGTGGGGAGTCGGCCTCAGCCTCCTGGGGCAGAGGGTGGGAGGGCCGTGGGGCGTGAGGAGGGGTCAGTCCCACCTACCACCCCACACACCTGCATAGATGAGCTGCTCCTCACAGAGCGGCCGCCGGTCCCAGTTGGACAGCTGCTGCGTCTTGTCCAGGGCTGTGCCCAGCACCTGCTGCACCAGGAGGCTCAGGCCCCTCAGCCCCTTGGCCCTGTCTGTGCCTGAGGTTGGCATGTTTGTCACCCGCATCTGCTAAGACAGTGCCCTGCAGGGTGATGCGTCTGGCCCTGGAGGGAGCACAGCTCACTGCACCCACTCACACCGGCTCTGTGGGACTCTGGAGGAGGCCCTGCCCCCCTCCACCGACAGGGAGAAGGAGGGACACATCCGAGGGCAGGCTCCACGTGGGGGTCGCAGGCTGCAATTACTGCACACCGGGGCCAGCTCCGGGGTTCACACCTTCACCTCCAGGGCCTCCCTCCCGGAGCTCCTCCAAGTGGAACCCAGGGCTCAGGTCCGAGGGAAGGTGCCCTCGCACCAGATAAGGGCCCCACAGGGGCTCAGGGATGCCCGCGCCAGGAGGCTCTGCTCCCTCCCTGGGGACGCCAGATCCACCTCTGCCAGGCTCTGCTCGGGGGGCCCTGGTGACTAAGGCTGAGCTGACAGGAATCCGGCAGGAGAAGCCCAGGGCCACTGGGAAGGTGTGGAGGGGCCCCAAGCAGCCCTCAAAACCCAGGCCCACCCGACGTCGTGTGAGCGGCTCAGCGGGTGCCCACCTGTCTGTGCACCAGCAGCAGGTCCACGCCACCCAGAATCTGCTTCTCCACATGGGCCAGGGCGGGGCAGGATGCGCCCAGTTTCTGCAGGTCCCCCACCATCCCGTAGCCTGTGGGCGGGAACCATCATGGGGGGGGCACCTGCAGGCGGGGACAGCACTGTCCCCGGACCCCAGGGTGCACCCAGCACCCTCCCCGGGGCGCACAGAGGGAAGGGTCAGGCAGAGGTGGGGGCTGCTTCTCTTCTGCACTGGGCAGGGGGCCCCAGGGCTTCACTCACCCAGCTTGGTGATAGAGGGGTCCGAGAGGAGCTGGGCCACCAGCCGGGAGAAGGCCTGGGCTCCCTGCCCTGTTGGTGGCTGCGAGAGTGCCAGGACGTCCAGAAGGAACACGCGGCCCTCCACGGCCACCTGCAGGAGTGACGGCCGAGGCCGGCCCCCAGCAACGAACACAGGTGTCCACTCCAGGTCTACACCAACTACTTGGTGGGGCTGTGGGCAGAAAGGGGCAGATGTGACCATCAGGGCCAACTCGGCTCTGCAGCGAAGGCAGCCTGGAGGGTCTGAGCAGCAACGTGAGCTTGGGCTTCAGGGAGACGCCCCTGCACCCCTGCATGCTTGTAGGGCTTGGGCTGTTGGGGGGCACTAAGACCAGTGCCCCAGCTGCCCCTTGCTTTCTGTGGCTGGACCAGAGAGGGAGGCCTGGCCTAGTGCCAAAGGCAGTGCTCATGTCAGGATGCAGCCACGTCTCGTGCCCCATCTGTAAAACGGGGATCCCACGGCACCTTCCACAGGCTGGCAGGACTGGGTAAATGCCAACACCCAGTGCCCAGCACCTAGCACCCAGCATCCCGGAGTCTCAGCAACACAGCGCGGGGAATGGCTGCCCTCACAGCAGCCCTGGGGCACCTGGCGGGCCCACGCCCAGAGGCCTTGCCTCTCTCCGAATGCCATGCTCCTGATGCTCCTCCAATGCCTGGCAGGGGGATCCCACCACCGGGCGCTGCCCCAGCAGCCGAGGGGCTCACCTGCAGGAGTGCACCCTCATATCTGGTCAGGTCTTCCCACGAGGCCAGGAGGTGGATGTTCTCCCTGGGGATGGGCAGCTGGTAGTAACGGTCCTTCACGTCCTTCACCTCCAGCCTTGAGTCAGCCTCAGCCGCCCTGGGAGGGGCAGAGCTGGTAGCGCCCCCATGTCCCTGGTCCCCCACTCACTCTGACCTCGGAGCAGGAGGGGAGCGTTCGGGGCGTTTGGTGGGGGCATCTCGGGTCGTGGCTCCTTCTCCCACGCCGGCTCAGTCCAGCCCAGCGTGACCCCTGCTCCTGCCTCTCCTCCCAGTGGCTGCCCTCCCAGACCATAGGGCAGCCTGCTCCTCAGGGTCCCGCGTGGGTCGGGCTGGCCATGGATCTGGCTGCAGAGTCTGTGGGCTGGCAGCAGAGTAGGAGGGCTGGGCCCTGCTGTCTTGTCTGCTATGTGTACAGCTGTGCTCTTTGTTTTGTCTTGATTTCTAATTCTCAAGCCACTGGCGTGCAGATTGGTGAGCTGTCGTCCCAAGGGTAAGGGCCATCCTGGGCGGAACCCATCCCTAGCTGGGGTCACCTGGCGGAGCTCACCTCCCCTGGAGACTGAGCTGGCGGAGTTCCACAGCCACCGCAGCCGGCAGCCGCTCCTCGGGCAGTGAGAGGCCCATGGCACACCGGGCGGCCGTGACTGGGTCACCGTGGGAGACCAGCAGCTGAGACAGCTGCTCCTGAAGCCACGGGCTCTGCTCCACCAGGCCCTATGGGGAGGGTGGCCGTGAGGATGGAGACGGGACGTTGCTGTGCCACAGGGCTCTGCCCCGAGGGACCCCCATAGACCCTGACCTTGCAGACTGGCTCTTAGCACTCGGGGAGGAGGGGCAGCCGTCTACCCCAGGCCTGCAGTGCCTGTCCTGCCTGAGGTCAAGGTTCCACAGGACCAAAGCGGCTGAGATAGAGGTGCTGAGGCAAAGGCTGTCCACCCCAGTATAGCCCTGGCTGGCCCTCCGGGTCTCCAAGCCTGAGGTGAAGGCTGCCCACCTCCGCTCAGCCCTGGCTGGCCCCTCCTGGCCTCCAAGCCTCCGCCGGCCCTCCTGCTCTCACCAGGCATCTGCCCCCACCCCGGGTCCCAGGAACCCGGGCGTGTTTTCTGGAGCACCTGCCCAGCCTGCCCCATCTCCACACTCCTCCTCTTGCCGGGGGAGACCCTCTGCCCCTTCCCTTCCTCCTCACTGTGTGGGGTTTGACTGGCAGGGCTTAGGAGGCTATTGGGCACCCATTCAGCCACGGCCCAAGAGCAGACAGAGGGGTGCCCTCCGGGTGGCAGTGACCAAGGGGGTCCCGAGAATCCTCATCCTCACCAGGGTGAGCTCTCTCCCACCCCTGCAGCCAGCCGCCTGTGGCAGCGCCCAGCCCAGGAGCAGAGGCACCCACAGGCCTGCAGGACCCTCGGCCCCCACCAGGAAATGCAGGGCCCAGCACGAGCGAGGGTCTCCCTCCCTGCACGGTCCCGGAGTCCATGGGTCCAGGATGGCCTTGGGTGTCAGGCGGGAAGGGAGGGGACCCGCCCGGGAGGCTGAGCTCCTGCACGACCTCCCGCCCCACGGCCTCGAGGAGGGTCCGCCTGCCCCGCTGGCTTCAGGCCCAGCAGCCCGAGGCTGCTTCCCCGGCGTGGGTTCCCACGTGGACGACAATACGTGGAAGCCGCCCGCATTCTTCAGGACGTCCGCTGCCCTTCCGGCCGGCTCCATGCTGGCACCGGCGGGGGGGCCCGGCCTTCCTCCTTCCGGCCTCGCCCAGGCGCCCCATACCTCTCTGGTGACTCTCAGCCCCCGCCCAGCCCCACAGGCAGCTCCGCTGGGCCGGTTCGGGTGGCACGGATGCTGCCGTCCGCCTGGAACGAGGCCCAGCAGGCTCCACCGATGCCCTCAGCTCCTGCTCAGGCCTCCGGGGCCTGGGGACCCCGCACCCGCCTGCCAGGCACGTGCCCCAACACGGGGTCGGGGTCAGCAGCCCTCGTGAAGGCCTCAGCTCTGCCTGCTGTTTTCAGGAGGCTCCGGGCCTGTGCCCCCAGAACAGCTGCCCAGGCAAGAGCACGAACTCACCCGCACGTGGTCAGCCCAGTTTTCCTGAGACAGGCTCTTCTGCAAAAGCAAACGGGAAGGGACAGTTGCCAGGCAGCTCCAGAGGCTGAACAGGGGCCTGGTGGGAGTTTTCCTCGACCCCTGGCAGGGTACATCCTTGTCAGAGCCCAGGTGCTCACCCACCGTGGTGCCACAGCCCAGAGCCAGGGCCCCACGGCCTCCCCTTCACCCAGGCCTGGCCCAGCTCGCCCAGCTCTGGGGTGAGAAGCAGCTCCTGCTTGGGACATCGGTGCAAACCCACAGTGCGCAGTGAGTATCCCAGGCCAAAGTCTGTGGCTCAGGCCATGGCTGGCCGCCCTCAGGACCCCTTCCTGCTCACGAACCTCCACAAACCGCTTGTGGCACAGGTGCCGCAGGGCCGCCAGGCGCTGCCACATGGCCGCATTGGGACACAGCGCTGAAAAGAAAGGCCAGCTCAGCACTGCGGGCTCAGGGCAGCCTCACCATGGCCTCCTTCTGGGGCAGGCAGGAGACGGGCAGGGGGGCTGAGCCTGCCTCTTCACCACCCTCCACCTCTGCCCCAGACCTCACCCCCTCCCCACCGCTTGGGCCTCTGCTGGGGTCCACCCCACTCAGCCTGGGGGTCCCGCCGGCCCCAGGCTCTCCCTTGCATGTGTGCGGCGGGCCCTTTCATCTGGGCCTCCCTCTGGGGCCTCCCTGTCTTTCCTCAGGGAGGTTCCTTCCTGGCGCTGGCATCTGCGTGTGTGCCCTGCCCTTCTCTCACTGGCAGGGAGAACCTCGTGGACAGAGCCGGATGCTCACTGTGGGTCCCGTGACTGGAGCTACATGAGCGGCAGGGGCCCGAGGCCCACGCACGTCCACAGTCTCCGTCAGCCTCCCCTCCATACTCCACCCCAGAGCCTGAGGGGGCCCCGGGGAAGGCACCATGGTCTGGCCGAGCCCCTTCCCCCGAGGGCGTGGCAGCCAGTGGTGCTAACGGGCTGGCCAGTCCTCAGCGGGATGCCGACCGTTCAGCGCCCCGCCCACCCCCGCCCAGAACGCAGCCACGGGGAGCCGGGCGACCATCTGTCCTAAGGCCCCTGCCTGGCTCTGTCCCAACCTCACCGAGGGTCCCTGTGACACACAGGGACACTCTCAAGACACGTGGTGCCCTTGCCAGCACTTGCCTCCAACACCTGGGAGCACCCTGTGGTGGGGACCCCATCTGCAGGCTACAGTGGGGGTCTGTGCGGTTCACAGCAAGGCCAGGGACAAGGGCTAACCAGGGAGACCAGCTTCCTGGAACACAGCCACCAGGGCACAAACTTCCAGCAGGGGCCTCGCCCAGGAATCTGCCACCTGCCCTGGGTCCCAGGGGGGATGAGGGCACCCGCCTCCCACCTTCCTCCTTCCTGGAAACGAGGCCTCTGCTACCCTCGTGCACTGGACATCCCAGGGGCCGCCACCTCTTTAAACCACGTGGCACCTCTGGGTAGCACCTACACAAAGCCCAATATACTTCTGAGAAAGGAGAAAGGAGGAAGGAAGGAGAAAGGAGAAAGGGAGGAAGGAGGAAGGGAGAAAGGAGGAAGGAAGGAGGAAGGAGAAATGGAGGAAGGAGGAAGGAGAAAGGGAGAAAGGAAGGAAGAAGGAGAAAGGAGACAGGGAGAAAGGAAGGAGGAAGGGAGGAAGGAGAAAGGAGGAAGAGGGAAGGGAGAAAAGGAGGAAGGTGGAAGGAGACAGGAGGAAGGAGGAAGGGAGAAAGGGAGGAAGGAGACAGGAGGAAGGAGGAAGGAGAAAGGGAGGAAGGAGACAGGAGGAAGGAGGAAGGGAGAAAGGGAGGAAGGAGGAAGGAGGAAGGAGAAAGGGAGGAAGGAGGAAGGAGGAAGGAGGAAGGAGGAAGGAGAAAAGGAGGAAGGAGAAAGGAGGAAGGAGACAGGAGGAAGGAGACAGGAGGAAGGAGAAAGGGAGGAAGGAGGAAGGAGGAAGGGAGGAAGGAGGAAGGAGGAAGGAGAAACGGAGGAAGGAGGAAGGAGGAAGGGAGGAAGGAGGAAGGAGGAAGGAGGAAGGGAGGAAGGAGGAAGGAGGAAGGGAGGAAGGGAGGAAGGAGGAAGGAGAAAGGAGGAAGGAGACAGGAGGAAGGAGGAAGGAGACAGGAGGAAGGAGACAGGAGGAAGGAGGAAGAAGAAAGGGAGGAAGGAGACAGGAGGAAGGAGGAAGGGGGAAGGGAGGAAGGAGACAGGAGGAAGGAGGAAGGAGGAAGGGAGAAAGGGAGAAAGGGAGGAATGAGGAAGGAGGAAGGAGGAAGAAGGAAGGGAGGAAAGGGAAGGGAGAAAAGGAGGAAGGAGGAAGGGAGAAAGGGAGAAAGGGAGGAATGAGGAAGGAGGAAGAAGGAAGGGAGGAAGAGGGAAGGGAGAAAAGGAGGAAGGAGGAAGGGAGAAGTTACTCGGGGGCACAGCTGGGCAGCCCAGGTGTTGCTGCAAAGGCCCTTCCCTCAGGTCCAGACAGACGGGGGCAGGTTTCCTGACATTTCCATGCTTTTAGGCTTCATTTTGCCTGTGGGATACTGTGTCCAAAGGCTTCTGGATACAATACTGCATCGACAGAAGGGATTTGGGCTGTAACCATGCTGAGAACCTAGAAACACTGCAAAATCCAGATAAAACCCAAACTGCCAGCCAGGCACCAGCCTGCACCCTCCTGAGATTCAAGGGCCCCGTGGATGGGGCCTCAGTGCATCTTCCTGGCTCTTGCAGGGTGTCCTGGGAACAAAGGGGACCTGGCTTCCCTTGGTGTCCAATGACACAGGCAGGTGCGGCCATCAGCCTGTCCAGAGGGGTCTGGGAGGCGTGGCTGCGGAGTCCTGCGGACTTGGACTCAGCACTCACTCTCAGCTCTGCAGCCAGGCAGGAGGCAGGAAGCGCTCCCGGAGCCGCCTAGGTGGGCAGAGGAGCTCTCAGACCCGTGGGCTGCTCAGTGGCAGGGCCCAGGCCAGGCCCACCTCGCAGCCACTCTGGCATGAGCTGGGCAAGAGGCAGGGAGGGGCTCTTGGGGAAGGCTGGTCTTTGTTGGCACCTGAACAACAGGCAGCCCCAGTCACAGAACATGTCCCTGGCCACGCTTGGCAGCTCTCCCTGGCCTCCGGGGCAGAAATGCAGGGGGCCAGACTCACCCGGGGCTACGCCGTACCGCTCCTGCAGACGCAAGACCTGCCTGCTCAGCACCTTCGGACTCAGCTTCTCCAGGCTCAAGGAGGTCACCTCAGGGTACTGTCTGTGGGGAGAGAGAGACACAGCCTCTGTTGCTGTTTTAAGTTAATACATTTTAAGATTTTTGTTTTCATCAGTCATATGCATGCATAGTTCAAACCTCAAGTGAGGTTTATAGGAAAATGCAGGCATCACCCCCCAGCCCTGCCCACCCCATCCTTAGCACTTGCAGGTCGACGTTGAAATGGTTGTGCATTTGCCTCCACGTTTCCGGGTAACATCCTTGGATTGTGATCTCTTGATTACTGACTTCTGGGTGTTTGGTACTGACTTCTCTCCACGGAAGGTGGACTCCCAAATTAACAGTATTAGAGTTTTAGCTAAATCAGCACCTTCTCACTGGTGATAATCTGGCCGCGTAACGGCCTCAACAGCTCAGCCTTCTGCTGCTGCTTTCAGGGTTGATGCTTCTCTGGCTCTGTTGTCTCTCAGTTTCCTGTCCTGGTCCCTTGACACTTGGCTCCTCCTGCCCCTCCAGCCACTCTCTAGCTCCTGCCCTGCACGGTCCTGGGACTGACCCCCGCCGTGCCCTGGTCCACACCCTCCGACCTCCAGGTAGTGGTGAAGCTCAGCTGTTGGGTGTTTCCCAAGATAAGGTCCACGGAGTATTTTTGGAGCTGTGCACCTCCAGGGTCTGGGCCTGCTGCACACCAGCTTGAGAGTTCAGTGGAGCCAGGACTTCTGGGTCGAGATGACGCTCCCTTAGCACAGGCAGGCTTTGCTCCCAGAACTGCTGTTGAGACCCCAGAACCCGTTCCTCTTCCTGCCCCTCTGATGTGACCTGCTCTTCTGGAGGTTTTGAGGCTCTTCCATTTTCACTAGTGTTGAGAAATTTCATGACGATGTACCCCCCCAGGGGGTCTCTCTCCACCCCCCTTCGGCCACTCCACAAACCTGCCAAGTCCGGTTCCCGTAGGGGCTCCCGTGGCCTCGCGTCTGGAAACCCGTCAGCGACGAATTACTTAGGAATTTCCTTCCCTGCTCTCCCTTCTTCCTGGAGTCCCCGTTATTTGTATGTTGGACCTTCTTGACGGCATCTCCAATTTTAAACATCTTTTCTCTGATTTTCCTTCTCTTTATGTATTTTGTGCTACTTCTTGGAAGACAACTTCAAATTTATCTTCCAAACCTCCCACCGAGCTTTCATTTCTCATCCTGTCCTTCATCCACCAGGTTCGGTCCTACAGTCTGAAAGCTCTTTCTGGGGGAACCCCACCTCCACTTCACAGACACAGTATCTTCCAAAGATCCTGGTTACAGCGTTTGTGCTTTTAAGTTTTTTTTTGCTTCCTCCAAGCTCCAGCTTAGTGTGTGTACTAGTCAGGGTTCTCTAGGGGGACAGAATCCATAGGATATATATACATATATATATTATAAGTAATATATATAGATATATTTTATATCTATCTATCTATATATATAGTGAGTTTATTAAGTATTAACTCACACAATCACAGGGTCCTAAAATAGGCCATCTGTAAGCTGAGGAGCAAGGAGAGCCAGCCCCAGTCTCAAAGCTGAAGAACTTGGAATCTGATGTTCAAGGGCAGGAGGCATCCGGCACAGGAGAAAGATGTAGGCTGGGAGGCTAGGCCCATCTCGCCTTTTCACGTTCTTCTGCCTGCTTTATATTCTAGCCTTGCTGGCAGCTGACTAGATGGTGGCCCCAGATTGAGGGTGGGTCGGCCTCTCCCCGTCCACTCAGTCGAAGGTGAGTCTCCTTTGGCAACACCCTCACAGACACACCCAGGATCAATACTTTGCATCCTTCCATCCGATCAAGGTGACACGCAGTGTTAACCATCCCCGTGCGTTACTGTCAGCACACCTGTGGCTGGCGAGAGGCCCCCCCCACAACCCTGACTGCTCCTGCCCAACGCTGCCCTACAGAGGAGCTACCTCCTTGTGTGCACGGTGTAGCCTGGCAGCCCTGGAAGGCCAGAGGTACTGTCGGCTGAGAAGCGTCTGTGCACCTCCAGCAAGGGTCTCACCTGTATCCTTCTGGTTTCAGCACGGAGCCCCAGCCCCGTCCTCAACCGTGCCACTCACAAAGGCCCCCTGGAGACCCTGTTTCCAGCCCAGCTTCTTGGAGGAATCTGGGCCTCCACTTCCTGTGCCTCCCTGAGGCTCCGAAGCCAACTGGCTTCTTGCATTTGCGGTTCCGCACTCTCAGGCCTCTGAGGACTGTCGCCACCTGGACATCTGCCTTCCAGGTTCCAGCTCCCATCTCCCCTCTTATTCTCTTGAAATTTTTGTCTTCATTTTAAAGCAAAGAGGCAATAGATGCTTGTGTTTAAATGCCACTTTAAACTGTAAGTCCTACTTAAAACTTTTTAAAAAGTTAAATATATATATTTGACACTCTGTCCCCCAGGCTGGACTGCAGTGGTATGATCAAGGCTCACTGCAGCCTCAACCGCCCGGCCTCAAGTGATCCTCCCACCTCAGCCCCCTGAGTAGCGAGACTATAGGCATGCACCACCATGGCTGGCTAATTTTCGTATTCTTTGTAGAGACGGGGTTTTGTCATGTTGCCTAGGCTGGTTTCAAACTCCTGGCCTCGACTGATCCTCCCACTGCACCTGGCAAGTCCCACTTTTTTTTTTTTTTTGAGACAGAGTCTCGCTCTGTTGCCCAGGCTGGAGTGAGTGGCGCGATCTCGGCTCACTGCAAGCTCCGCCTCCCGGGTTCCCGCCATTCTCCTGCCTCAGCCTCCCGAGTAGCTGGGACTACAGGCGCCCGCCACCACACCCGGCTAATTTTTTGTATTTTTAGTAGAGACGGGGTTTCACCGTGTTAGCCAGGATGGTCTTGATCTGACCTCGTGATCCACCTGCCTCGGCCTCCCAAAGTGCTGGGATTACAGGTATGAGCCACCGCGCCCGGCCTAAGTCCTGCTTTTTAAGATAAACTATTGGCCGGGCGTGGTGGCTCAAGCCTGTAATCCCAGCACTTTGGGAGGCCGAGGCGGGTGGATCACGAGGTCAGGAGATCGAGACTATCCTGGCTAACATGGTGAAACCCCGTCTCTACTAAAAATACAAAAAACTAGCCGGGTGCGGTGGCGGGCGCCTGTAGTCTCAGCTACTTGGGAGGCTGAGGCGAGAGAATGGCGTGAACCCGGGAGGCGGAGCTTGCAGTGAGCCGAGATCACGCCACTGCACTCCAGCCTGGGTGACACAGCGAGACTCCGTCTCAAAAAAAAAAAAAAAAAAAAAAAAAAAAAGATAAACTATTTACTGAGGGTATAAGTGATACATGGTAAGGTATGCCAATCATGGGTGCAAATGCACTGGGAAACCCACTGCCCAGATCTCAACATACAACGTTCCAGGCCAGGTGCAGTGGCTCACGCCTGTAATCCCATCACCTTGGGAGGCTGAGGCGGGAGGATGGCTTGAACCCAGGAGGTTGAGGCTGCAGTGAGCTGTGATTGCGTCCTTGCACTCCAGCCTTGGTAACAGAGTGAGACCCTGTCTCTAATGTAAAATTTAAATAAAGGACATTCCAGCACCCCAGAGTTTCTCCCGTGTCCAGCTCTGTGTATCCCCATCCCACACTTCTCTGACTTCTATGGCCAGAGATGATTTGCCTGATTTTGAACTTGATACAAACGGAATGATAGAATAGGGACACTTCTGCCACTTTTGGATCTGGTTTCTTCCATGCAGTCTCTGTCCACGCTGCTGAGTGTGACGAGGTTCAGTCTCTCACAGCTGGGTTTGTGAACCGTGATCACTGCATCCACTCTGCTGGTCTGGGGACTAGGGCTGGTCCCAGGTTTCAGAGACGACGACTAAAGCTGCCACGACTGCGAGCTTTTGTGAATAATGAGCTCATTTCTCTTGGGCATATGCTAAGTGGACTTGGACAACATACGTCATAGGGTTGGCATACTTTTTTTTGCTTTAGTAGAAACTGCTAAATAATCTTCTGAAGTGTCTGCGACAGTGCACGTCCCACCAGCAGTGTGTGAGAGTGCTGGTTGCTCCATGTCCTTGCCAACACTTGGTATGTTCAAATTTTAAATTTTAGCCTTTCTGATAGGAGGTAGTGGTATTTCGTTGTGGCTTCATTTGCATTTCCCTGATATTAATGGTGCTTAGCAACTTTTCCTACACTTATTGGCTATCTGGATATCCTCTTTTGTGACGTGCTTATTCAAATCTTTTGCTCATTTAAAAACTTGGTTTGTCTTTGATTGTTTATTTGCTTTGTAGGTTTTTTGCTTAAAAAATATTCTGGATAAGTCTTTTGTAAGATATGTACTGTAAATAATCTTCTCTTGGTCTAGAAGTTGCCTTATCACTCTCTCAATGATGTCCTTTGATGTCCAGAAGGTATTAAGTCAAATTTGTCATTCTCTTATGTTATTCTTTTTTTTTCTTTTTCTTTCTTTTTTTTTTTTTTTTTTTGAGATGGAGTCTCACTGTGTCACCCAGGCTGGTGTGCAATGGCACGATATCAGTTTACTGCAACCTCTGCCTCCCAGATTCAAGTGATTCTCCTGCCTCAGCCTCCTGAGTACCTGGAACTACAGGCACCCGCCACCATACTCAGCTAATTTTTGTATTTTTAGTAGAGACGGAATTTCGCCGTGTTTGCTAGGCTGGTCTCGAACTCCTGACCTCAAGTGATCCACCTGCCTCAACCTCCCAAAGTGCTGGGAATACAGGTGTGAGCCACCGCACCCTGTCTTTATTCTTAGTGATTTTATATCCTATTTGAGCAAGTTTTATTGCAAGCACTTCGGGAGGCCGAGGTGGGCGGATCACAAGGTCAGGAGATGGAGACCATCCTGGCTAACATGGTGAAACCCCATCTCTACTAAAAATACAAAAATTAGCCGGGCGTGGTGGTGGGAGCCTGTAATCCCAGCTACTCGGGAGGGTGAGACAGGAGAATGGTATGAACCTGGGAGGCAGAAGTTGCAGTGAGCCGAGATCACGCCATTGCACTCCAGTCTGGGAGACAGAGTGAGACTCTGTCAAAAAAAAAAAAAAAAAAAAATTACCAGGCATGCAGAGAAGAGGAAATATGAGGCAAAATGTGATGAGTAGAAACTGACCTAGAAATGACATAGATCATAGAATTACTGCAGGACAAAAAGACACAAATCACCAGCACTGGGAATGAGAGCACTGACATCACCACAGAGTCTACAGGTAATAGGAGAATATTATGAACAACTTCAAGCCAGTAAGTTTGACAACTTAGATAAAATGGACAAATTCCTTGAAAAACAAAAACAACCAAAGCTCATTCAAAAAGACATAGGCCATCTGAATAGTCCTATTTTAAGGAAATGGGTTTTCAGTTAGAAGTAATGCCAACTGCACACAGTTTTCCCAGAAAATTGAGAGGCAAGGGAATAATTCCAAGCTCATTCTATCAGGCAAGCATTTTTCTGATACCAAAAGTAAACATATATTACAAGAAAAGACAATAACAGACCAAGATCCCTCATGGACATGGATACAAACATTCCTAACAAAATTTAAGCAAATGGAATAAAATTACCCCAAAGATAATACCTAATGGCCAAGTGAATCTATCCCAAAATTAACTGATCAAAAAAGAAAAACCATGTGTTCATCTCAATAGAAAAGTCATTTTTATAAATTCCAGCATACATTTCTGATAAAAATTCTAAACAAACTAAGCATAGAAAGGAACTCCCTTCTTTTCTTTTCTTTTCTTTTGATAGAGTCTCACTCTGCCCCTGGAGTGCGCTGGTACAGTCACAGCTTACTGCAGCCTCGACCTCTTGGGCTCAAGGGATCTGCCCCACCTTGGCCTCCCAAAATGTTGGGATTCCAGGTGTGAACCACTGTGCTCAGCCCCTTTGCCCATTTTAATTTGGGTTGTTCATTTTCTTACTGCTGAGTTTTGAGAGATCTCTGTATATTTTGGATAATAGTCCTTTATCCCACATCTTTTTCAGATATTTTCTCCCAGTCTGTTGGTGTCTTCTCACTCTGTTGTTGTTGTTTTGAGATGGAGTTTCACTCTTGAAGCCCAGGTTGGAGTGCAATGGCATGATCTGGGCTCACTGCAACATCTGCCTCCTAGGTTCAAGTGATTCTCTTGCCTCAGCTTCCTGAGTAGCTGGGATTATAGGCATGAGCCACCACACCCGGCTAATTTTTGTATTTTTAGTAGAGATGGGATTTCACCATGTTGGCCAGGCTGTTCTCAAACTTCTGACCTCAGGTGATCCGCCTGCCTCAGCCTCCCAAAGTGGCTGAGATTATAGGTGTGAGCCACTGCATCCAACCATGGTGCAATTTCTTTCTTAAATGTTTGAAAAATTCACTACTGAAACCATTTGGGTTCTAATAAAGTTTTCTCTGTGATAAAGCTTTAAACTGTGGATTTAATTTGCTTACTAGATATATAGGACTATTTAAATGTTCTATTTTTTCTAGTGTCAGTTTTGGTAAATTGTATTTTTCAGGAATTTGGTCTATTACATCTAAATGGTCAAGTATGTTTGCATTAAGTTGCAAACAATATCCCCTTACGACCACTTTAATGTCTATAGGGTCTGTAACAATGTCCCCCCTTTCATTCTTGATGTTGGTCACTCACATTTTTATCTGTTTCTTTCTTAGCATCCCTTGATGATCTATGCCTGAATCAGTTACTTTATGGAGAGTTGCAATATGGTGATTTTTAATTTTGTCGTTCCTTTTTCTTTTTTTTTTTTTCTTTTCTCTTCTTTTTTGAGACGGAGTCTCACTCTGTCACCCAGGCTGGAGTGCAGTGGCCTGATCTCAGCTTACTGCAAGCTCCGCCTCCCGGGTTCACGCCATTCTCCTGCCTCAGCCTCCCGAGTAGCCGGGACTACAGGCGCCCGCCACCGCGCCCGGCTAGTTTTTTGTATTTTTTAGTAGAGACGGGGTTTCACCGTGTTAGCCAGGATGGTCTCGATCTCCTGACCTTGTGATCCGCCCGTCTCGGCCTCCCAAAGTGCTGGGATTACAGGCTTGAGCCACCGTGCCCGGCCTGTCATTCCTTTTTCATGTTAGCTGGAAGATGTTGTAAAGAAGAGCTTTCCTCCCTGCTTCCCTTGGGCATCACTGTGGACTCGTGGACTTTTAAAAGTCAAAGTGTTCTACTCCATTACCATTGTCATTTCTGTGCTCAGTCTATTCTCTGAAACGCCCTTGCTTCTTTCAGTGGAGAATGGCATTTGGTGACTGAGCTGGCAGCCAGGCATGCCCATTGCTATGGGGTGCCATTGCATCCAGGCCCTTTCAGAGCACAGAGCTAGGAAACATTTTAAAAATCGTTACTTTAGGGAAGGTGTGGTGGTTCATGCCTGTAATCCTAGCACTTTAGGAGGCTGAGGCGGGAGGATCACCTGAGGTGGGCGGATCACCTGAGGTCAGGGGTTCGGGACCAGCCTGGCCAACATGGTGGAACCCTGTCTCTACTAAAAATACAAAAATTAGCTGGGTGTGTTGGTGCATGCCTGCAATCCCAGTTACTTGGGAGGCTGAGACAGGAGAATCATTTGAACCCGGGAGGTGGAGGTTGCAGTGAGCCAAGATTGTGCCACCACACTCAAGTCTAGGCAACAGAGGCTTTGTCTCAAAAAAAAAAATCATTAATTTAAACCAATATCTCCAATGAAATCTAACACTGCAGGGTTTTTCTCACCCTCCCAGTTTCCATGTATATTTCTTTTCTTCCCAATTAGATCCCCTGGTTCCCACCTCCATCAATGCATTCACTGTTTTCTTCTATGTCTTTTTTTTTTTTTTTTAGACGGAGTCTCGCTCTGTTGCCCAGGCTGGAGTGCAGTGGCACAATCTCAGCTCACTGCAAGCTCTGCCTCCTGGGTTCACTCCATTCTCCTGCCCCAGCCTCCCAAATAGCTGGGACTACAGGCACCCGCCACCGTGTCCGGCTAATTTTTTGTATTTTTAGTACAGACAGGGTTTCACCGTGTTAGCCAGGATGGTCTCGATCTCCTGACCTCGTGATTCACCTGCCTTGGCCTCCCAAAGTGCTGGGATTACGGGTGTGAGTCACTGTGGCCGGCCCTATGTCTTTTATTTTTTTTTAATGTAATAGGATCGATGGCAACTGACTATGTGCTCACCTGTGCCTGGCCTGGCTCTGTGTGTGCCCTGCCTGCTCCCTCTGATGAAACGTCTTAGCAATGCTTTGAGTCAGGTGGACTCAGCCCCATTGTGTGAATGAGGAAACGAACTCAGAAAGTGGAAGTGACTTGCCCATTGATCTAAGGGAGGACAAGGGGAGGAGGATGGGCCCGGGGTGGCCTGACATCCAAGTCTAGGCCTGTGACTCTCCAGTAAGATGACCCTGGGGCTGTGTGGGGCATGGAGGCCGGGATCTGCCTGCCAGTGGATGGGCCCTGGAGCCTTCACAGACCTTTCAGCTTGCTTCACTCTTGGAGCACCTTGACCAGATACACAGCAGGAAGCCCCTCCCCTCCCAGATGTCATCCCTCATATCACGCACACACACACACACACGCGCGTGCGCACATGCACACATGCATAGACATGCACATGCACACCTGCAGGCACACAAACATACACACACACATGCATGTACAGACCTGCAGGCACACACATGTACACACACACATGCATGTACAGACCTGCAGGCACACACACGTACATACACACATGCATGCACAGACATGCACATGTACACCTGCAGGCACACACACGTACACACACGCATGCATGCACAGACATGCACATGTACACCTGTGTGCACACACACGTACATACACACATGCACATACAGACCTGCAGGCACACACACGTACACACACGCATGCATGCACAGACATGCACATGTACACCTGTGGGCACACACACGTACACACATGCACACACATGCATACATACAGACCTGCACAAACATGAACACAATGCATGCACAGATACGCATGCACACACATGCATACACATGCACACCTGCAGGTACATACACATGCACATACACACATGTACACACACATGCACACACAGACACACACACGCACAACTGCAGGCACACATACATGCGCACACACGCACACACCACATGCACACAGAGACACACACACATACACACCTGCAAGCACACACACGTACACATCATATGCATGCATACACACCCGCACAAATATGAACACAATGCACATACAGATATGCGTGCACAAACACACGCACACCTGCAAGCACACACATACATGCACACACATGCACACACACATGCACACACACGCATACCTGCAGGCACACATAAACGTGCAAACACACATATCACATGTGCACACGGAGACACATGCACACACATGCACACCTGCAGGCACACACACACATGCACATGTGCACACACATACACACACAGGCACACGGTTTCCCTGAATCCATACAGGCACCATATGGGCTCCTTGTCAGGTGCTGCCTTTTCTCTGTAATTGCTGACAGATGTCACACACCAAGTACTTCCAAAAACTTTATTAGATGAAAGAACAAAGGAATGAATGAACAAATAAGCAGTATGGTGGCCGTGTCTGTATAAGAAGAGCCACTGTGGAGAATTATTTTTGTTCTTCTAAGAGCAGTTAACTCTTTTCACTTGGGAGAAGAGGGCTGTGCTGCTGCCAGCCCCAGCCTCTCCTCTCCAGAGGCAGCTGCTCTGGCTGCAGTCACATGGTAGCTGTGACCCAAACACCAGAACCTCCTGGGGAGAGCTCACATCCCACATGCCTGCTGCCCCCTCATACTCCCTTCCCTAACCAGGGCTCCCAGGATGCCATCTGGTGCCAGCTGCCAGTGCCCCGCGGAACTCACCTGGCAACGTCCTTGATGTCAAAGCCAGGCTGGCACCAGGAATCCATGAGGGCCAGTAGCCTCCTCTGGAGGTCCGGGAAGCCAGCCACGTAGCGCTCCACGAGGGCCACCTTGTCCTGGAGGAGCAGTGGGACGCTCATCTGCAGGGGGACACACGGTCAGGCCACAGCCTCCACCATCTCAGCCAAAACCTGACTCACCTCCAACCCAGAGAGAGCGGCCAAAGTATCAGAACGAAAGGGCCCCGGAGGCCGTCCAGGGCCAGCAGTGCTCGCCCAGCCTGAACTGGCGCTCACACACACCCACCCCAGGCTCCTGGTGGGCTCTGTGGCCATCCCCATCTCCATGGTGAAGGCCTGGAGGCCCTAAGAGGCAAGGGGCGCCCTGGGGAAGCTCATTTGTCACCAAATGTGAGGAGGCAGGACCGAGACAAACCACCGGCAGTAGCCCTGGCAGCCCGGAAATGCTCCTCATGGCACAGGATACCAGCACTGTCTCCCGAGGAGGACTGCAAGACCCACACACTGTCGGTGCCTTCAGGAGGCCCTGAGGGAGTCCCTGGCTGTGGCGCTGGGCCTTGGGGCACACCAGCCATTCCCTCAGCAAGAACCAGTTCCCTCAGACAAAGCCCCTCAAGGAAGGCTCCTCACCTCCCTTCCCCCACCACCTCTGCCCCACAGGTGAGGCTGCCTGGCGCCGACCGCATGGGGCCCACCTGCCCGCCAGTGCCTTGGGGCACAGTCCTCAGGCAGAATCCAAAGCCCCGAGTCCTCTCTGGCCCCAGCTCTTGCAGACCTGGAGTCTGCACCCATCGCCCAGAACACAGCCCCGAAAGCCTTGGTGTAGACACTCCCCCGTCTTTAGGGAGACCGGTATGCATCCTGTCCCCACCTGGCTCTGCCCGAGTGGTGCTCACCCCCCTCCCCCGCCCCGCCCCTGCTTAACCAGCAGGTTCCACCTGCGTCCCTGTGACAGGGACAGATTCCCAGTGTAGGAGCTTGGATCTGCCATCCCTGAAGACACTGTGGGTTCGAGGACTGTGTCATCTGTCCAGAAATTCAGTTAGACCAGTGACTGCTTCCCCCAGCCACTGCGCAATGGAGATGTGCAGCAGAAGAGGGTCCCAGAAGCACATGGGCTGTGTGTCCTCGAGGCACCTGGTACCCACTCCAGGGAAGGGGTGGCCCCAGCACACTCAGGGCTTTGGGGCACAGCCGGACACAGGGTGCCTGTATGTGCGGCTACGTCTGATTTGAGGTCAGCCCGCGAGGAAGTTGGCGGTTTAGGGGGCTCTTGAGGCCCTCCCCGGTCCCCGATGGCCCTGCTCTCCCCCCTGTGGCTTGGTGGACTCCCCACCTCCACCAAACACTGTTTCTAGAGACCTGGGCATTATCCAAGTTTGAACCCAAACAATTTACATGAGAAAGACGTTCACCTTTTCAACATCAAGTTCTGGCTGCAGCTTCAACGTCGTGCCCAGCATGACTGCCTGGCAAACACAAAGGCAGCAGATTACTCAGGGCCTGGGAGGGGGCCAGGCAGCACCACGGGTTGGGGGGGCTACCACCCTTTTGCACCGGAGCCTGGTCACTGAGGGCGGAATGCAGGGCCTTCCCGTGTCCAGCCACGTGGCCCTCAGGCTGATGGGCCGGGCCTGGCAGACAAGCCCCCCTGTGGTGAGCCAGGCCTTGCATGGGCTGGGACAGGTGGGAGGCCTGGGCTTGGCCTGGATGGGGCAGCAGGGACTCATGGGGGTGCTGGCCACACAGCCTGGGTCCCAGGGCCTTGCTCAGGAATTGCTGATGAGCTGGAGGAAGGATAGGAGGTGGGGTCAGGGCAAGGGCAAAGCCGTGACCTTCCACATGACCCATCTGCGGGGCCCAGAACACAATGGTGCCTGCAGTGGAGGGGCCAAGACCGAGGACTCCCAGCCTCAGCGCACCCTGAGGCCTGGGGGGTCCTAGCCCTTCCCACAAGGCGGGAGACGGGCACCCCGCGAGCGCCCCAAGGCCACACGGCTGCCATCGGGGCACGGCCGGGCCCTGACCGCCTGCACGTACCGCGGGCCTGAGCTGCTATTAATAATTTCCATAAGCCGCGCTCCCATAACCAGCAAAAATGACCCACGAGAGCAGCCCGCGGAGCATCGGCGCCCTGCCCCCACGCAGCCCAGAGAAAGGACCAAAATAGCGGCCTGGGAAAGCCTCGAGCCCGGCTTCCAGCCCCAGTGCACAGGGTGGGGGCGCAGGGCCGGGGGCCTTTCCCTGCGCAGCGCTGACCCGGCGCCTCCACTGTCTGGCCATGGTCCAAGAGACTAGGCCTCCACCAGGCCCGCAGGGCGCAGGGCCCGGCGCGGGGGGTCTCAGGGCCGTGGGGAGGGTCGAAGGGCCGGGGCGGGGCCTCAGGGCTGTGGGGTGGGGCGCCTGGCCCGGGGAGGAAGTCTCAGGCCCGTGGGGAGGGGCGCAGGGCCGGGGGGGGGGCGTGGGGAAGGGGTGCAGGGTCCGGGGCTGGGTGCGGGGGAGTCTAAGAGCCGTGTGGGGAGGGGCGCAGGGCCGGGGGAAGGGGTCTCAGGGCTGTGGGGAGGGGCGCAAGGCCCGGGGCGTGGGGGTCTCGGAGTCGTGGGGAAGGGAGCAGGGCCGGGGCGGGGTCTCAGGGCTGTGGGGAGGAGCGCGGGGCCCGGGGCGGGGTCTCAGGGCCAAGGGGAAGGGCCTCAGGGCCGTGGGAAGGAGCGCAGGGCTGGAGAGGGGCACTGGGCCACCACTTGGGGAGGGGCGCAGGGCCTGGGAGGTGGGCTTAGGGCCGCGTGCATGGGCGCAGGGGCCACCACATGGGGACCACCCCAGCAGTGACACCCACAGCTTCACACAAGGGCTCTGACCCCTTCTGGACTAGGGACCCCCTGAGAAGCTGCCAGAGCTCGGGAAGGCAGGAGTGCAGGCCTGGACCTTCACCGCGTTCAGAACCACAGGGTGGTCACAGCCCACCCTCGCTCTGCTCCTCCTGCCCCATGTGGGCATTGTCAGGTGCAGCGGGGTGAAGGATGGGACTGCGCCCGTCACGTCCTTGGGACCAGGCCCTCAGCAGGTGACACTGGGACCAGGGAGGCTGGGGGCACAGCAAGGGGCAGGTGGCCAGGGCCTCTCCTCACGGCTGCTGCCCCCGGCCTGCCTCTGAGGACAGACTTCAGGCTCCAGGTCCCAGCCCTCGGCGGGCCCCGCCCATCCAGGAACCCCTCTGAGCCCAAGAAGGAGGCCTCAGGCTTGGGGAGGAGCCTGGGCGGGGCTGGGTGCGGGCTGTGTTCCCCAGCTGGGCGGCTTCTGCCTCCCTGTCCTGCACACTGCAACCCCATCAGAGGGGGTTCAAGGTGCCCAGCTCAGCCCTTCTCTTCTCCACAGCCATTCAGAGCCCAGGGTTAACAGGTGTCCGGACCTTTCTTTCTAGGCCCGCAGGAGCTCTCTGGGCACCCAGGGCCTCTTGAGGCCAGGTGGGCTTTCTGGCCATGCAAGGGTCCTGGGGCCCCCAGCCTCTCTCTGTGTCCGTATTTTGTACCTGGAGCCTGGTGGAGGCTCTGTGACCTGGCAGCTCAGGGGACAGGACAAGGATGGAGCTCCCTCAGCTCCACCCTGGAAAGGGCAGAGCCCAGGCTTCCTCATGGGCAGCCTTGGTGACAGGGGTGGAGGGCTGGGGGGTGGCAAGCAGCAGACCCACCCCTTCCAGGAAGCTCCCTGGCCGGCCGGACCCCCGTCTCAGGCTTCGGGGGCCCTGCACGGCTCCTTCATTGCGGTGGTGCCTGGCTCAGAATCAGTGTCTGGTCATTTCTGTCTGCACTTCCCTGAGAGGATGGCGTACAGCTGCCCACTGTCCACGCCTGGCCACTTGGGAAACTCAGCAGCCACAAAAAGGTCACCTGGCCCCAGAGCCAGGCCCAGGGAGCAGACAGCAGAAGGTGAAGAGTCCTGGACCCCATGGGAGGAACGAGCCCGGGGCTGGGTCACGAGGACAGATGGGGCAAACTGGGCCCCTCTGCACCAGGCAGACCTCCCCGACCTCTGCTGCCAGAGGATGGGCGGCATCCACCAGGAAGACAGAGATGAGGCTGTCCAGCTGGCCGGGTCAGGGTGGGGCTGCAGAAACCTGTAGGAAGGCCCAGGAGCTGCTGCTTTCAGGGGAAAAAAAAAAAAAAAAAAAGAGAGAGAGAAAATGCGGAGGGGTTGTGGTGCCAACCATCGGGAAGGGCATTCCCCGGCTCCCCTGGGCCCCCCACTCTGAGGGGCAGGAAGGCTGGGCAGGTGCCCAGGCTGGAAGGCCGAGGACCCCAGCGACAGCCCTGCCTCCCACCTCTGCGAGGGCCTGGAGCCAAGAGGGCCTTTTTTTTTTTTTTTTTAAAAGCAAAGCTATCTTTTTACCTTGATAAGCTGTTTAAAAAATGTAAATAAAATAACTCAGCGGACAAAAGCAGGCATTCATCCCGCCCAGGCCAGCCGCTGCCCTCGACATGAAATATCGCAGCACATTGAGTCGTGAGTCCCGGCTAATCCGAGCGGACAGGCCTGAATGCGGCCCCTTTCGGCCGGGCGCGGCGGTGAGCAGTGGAGCATGCATTGCCTGCCGGGCGGCCCCGCTCGGGGACAATGGCTTTCTTCGCAGAAGGGGCCTGTGCGGGACAAGACCCCCTTTGTGTGGGGATTCCTGCTTCGGAGTGCGAGGGAGGCGCATTCAGCCGGCCCCAGACAGTCTTTGAAAGGCTCTGTAACAGAAGACGGCCCGAAACACTAGCCTGCCTTCTGCCTCCCTGCACTCTCCGCAGGCACGGCCGCCATTCAGCCACATGAGCGGGACCCTCCATCCTGCATTGTCCCGTGCCCGACCATCGTGGCTTCTCAGCGCCATGCACCCGCCGCGAGACGACGGCCCGGGCGTGGCAGGCGACAGTGCTGGGGGTGGGGCTCGCATGGCCGACGCAGGGCACAGTCCTGTGAGGGCCCGGCCAGGGCAACCCCCAGTGCCCGCGCCCAGGTTCCGATGCACCTGCTCGCAGTGAGGGGTCGTGCTGAGAGGAGGAATCCGGGGGGCCAGCGGGACAGCCTCAGCAGCAGGGTCCCATGTGGGCAGGCAGTGGGGTGGTGCCCATCATGCTCCGCCCTGAAGTAAGGGGACCCTGACGGGGCGGGGGGCGGACCAATGCCCCCGAGTGCCGGCCTCCTCATACACGATCAGTGCACCCTGAGCCGAGCACCCCCAGGCCAGGCACCCCCAAGCAGGACATCCCCTGGCAGGACACCCCTGGGCTTCTTTGCTGCACCTCTTGCTGCACCCTGGAATCTGCACTGGGATCTGCAATCTCAGGGCACCGAGAAGTCATGGGGGCACCCCTGCACCTGTGGGAACAGCTCAGAGCCACCCCACGAAAGACGGCCGCCTCCCTACCCACTGCAGGCCCCGCCGCTCCCTACTGCTCCACACGAACCCAAGGCACAGCTTGGCCAGACTCAGGACGACGGGGCTGCGATGCTAGGACCTGGTCTTCCTCTTGGAACCTTCTGGGCTTAAAAGTCAGCCTTGTTCACAAAGGAGACTCAGCAAACCACCATGATTCCAAAAGCTCCACCAGTTCTTATCCAGACATCTTTAGCTGCCAACCCCACGCTTCTGCGACACTGCTTAAGACCTGGTCCCGGACAGCAAGGGATGGAAGCCACCTCTCCCGCCAGCAGCCAATGAGGGGTTGGATACTGACCGGACGTACTTCGCACCTGGGTGACCGTGCCAAGGCGCGACTGGTGCCCTGGCCCTGAACCTCGTCCTGTGTCCCAGGCGCCGGCACTGCCCACACTGGGCCTGTGAGTGGGCACCACTCTGGGGGTGCTGTGGGCGGCGGGGCCAGCACCAGCTGCTCCCACAGCCCCTGTGCTCAGCCCCTCCCAGGAGCATTTCCTTCCAGGGCGCTCACTGCCGTGCTGGGGACTCAGTCAGCCCCCAGTGCCCAGGAGGCAAACTCACCCACAAAGGGCAGCCTCCCGGGTGATCCTGTGAAGGTTCCGGAGGGACGGAGGCTAACAGGCATGGTGGGGTGTGGCTCGACCAAAGCTCAGGCCCAGGCCCACCTAGGACCCTGTGAGTGTGAGGGCCCGATGGGTACCGGGAGACACAGGGTTGGCAGGGGGAGACCCAGGCCTGGGACCAGGCTGTGCCCTGACGTGTCTGTTGGCTCAGGCAGCCTGAGGGCTCCTGGGACCAGGCACCCCACGTACAGCTGATGGCTGCCCACGGCCGGGTCCTGGATACCCCCATGTAGAAAAGAAGCCCCAAACAGTCCCCACACAGAGGCGGCCCTCAGCCAGGCACGTCCTTGCCCTGCCGCCTGAGAAGCCCTTTCCCCGTGGACCCGGCCATGGGGGCCACTCACTTCTCTGAACCTGCCCTCCTGGTGGAGGCGGTGGACATGCACCAGCAGGCAGCTCCTGTCTGCATCCTGCAGCTGGAAGATGCTGGTCAGCGGTGCCACAAGGCTGGGGGGGCTCTCAGTGAGGACTCGGATCGCTCGGGCCTGCAGCTGCTTCAGCCTCAGGCTGTGCTGGAAGGGCAGAGACCCAGCCTTACCGGACGTAGCACCCAGTGGCTGGGCCGTGGGGCCGACTGGAGCAGGCTGGGCTTAGGAGGCAGTGCCTGCCACTGTGGCCATGTGTGGGCATCAGGTGGCCTGCAGGGCTGGGGCATGGGAGGGGCGAGGCTGGTCTCAGCACATGGCTGTCATGGGGCTGAGGATGAAGCCACGGGCTGGGTCTTGGCCACAGCTCCCAGCATCCCCCTGCCCTTCCCCAGCTTGCTCAGCAGGCTGCAGAGGCCTGGGCGGGTGGGTGCCAGGTCCACTGTGCTGAGGGGCAGGGACAGGAAGGGAGGTGACTGTCACAGAGCCCACGGGCTCACCTGGGCAGGGCTCGGGCGTGGCTGTGCCTGTAGCCAGCACTGCAGCTGGCGGGAGATCCAGGCCTCCAGGGAGGGGCCCTCTCCCCGCCGGCCCCGGCAGCTCTCCAGCATGTCCAGAAGCCCCGCCAGGGGGTCGTCCAGGGCAGCAAACCCCCGCCAGGCTTCCTCCTGGAGCTGTGGAGACACAAAACCATACTGTCACTTTGTCTTGCACTCAGAGTCTCCTGGCAAGGCCTCCCCACCGCAGAGAGGTTTTCAAAATCTAATCCATTCAGAAGGTAACTGTGGCCATTCAGCCACCATCCGCCTCCCTGACTTTTCATGCCGCTGAGGAGATTCCGTTCTGGTCCGCTGCACCCCAGGCCCCCAGGGGCGGTGGCCATTGTCTGCACTAATTATCCCATAAAGACAGAGGGCCTGTTCTCCAGGCAGACAGAGGGCCGCTGGCCTGGGAGGCGACCGCAGCCCGAGCCACAGGTTCACAAGTCACTTCACCTGTGGCGTTCTCGGGACATGGGCCCGACCTGCCCTCAGCAGGCGAAAGAAACTGAAAGGCAAGAACCAAAGCCCAAAATGAAAAATGCCTTTTAGGTACTTTTCTATCCCTGACCCGCAGGAGATTTGGGAAACGGGTAAGAGGTGGACAAAGAGAAGCAAAGTGTCTGTTTTGGTCTCTGGCTTCCGGAAGATTCTAAAGCAAGTCGGCCCTTGCTGCTGCGGGCAGCCTCGGCGGCGCCATCCTCTGTGGATGCCCGCAAGCCATTCACATGCTATTTGCTGCAAACCACAATGAATGCTTGCAGGTCATTCCGCAGGTGGAATCCTAAGAGCTAAAGGGGTGGACAGGTTCACAGCTCAGCACTCGGGACAGAGCACAGCAGCCGAAACCCTACCCTGAAGCCCACGGCCACGCAGGTGGGCAAGAGGGCGAGTTCCCAGCTGCTGGCGCCAGCCACGGGATGCGCCCCCAGAGGCCCAGGGAGGCTGCAAGCCGAAAGCGTGGGTCGTGCTGTTCTCGCCCCTGCGATGTGGACGGTGTGCTCTCCACGGGGCTCCAGGAGCAACACCCTGAGGCTGCCACGCAGCTCTGAAAGCACCGTGCTCCGGAGATCTGGCAAGCACGCTTCGGCTCCCAGCACCTGACAGCTCTCCCCACAAACACCTGGGAACAGCCGCGGACACACGCAGGTGAGTGCGTGAGGAGACCTCAGCACAGTCCAGGAGGGTGTGACACCCATAGGGGCAGGAGGAAAGGCTGGAAAGTCGAGACCCTCCAAAGGATGCCCCTCGGGGAAAGTGGCCAGAGAGGGTGAAAGGCAGCTTGTCTGTCCCTCTGGACTCTGGGAAGAAACGGAAAGTCACCCTGAAACAAAGCCTGAGCGTCTCATGCATCTGGAACTTGAAGGTGATCCAGGAACTTAGTTTTAGCCCGAGTGAGTTCTAGCTCTAGTGAGTTCTAGCTCTAGTGAGTTCTAACCCTAGTGAGTTCTAACCCTAGTGAGTTCTAGCTCTAGTGAGTTCTAGCTCTCGTGAGGTCCAGCTCTAGTGAGTTCCAACTCTAGTAAGTTCCAGCCCTACTGAGTTCTAGCCTTAGTGAGCTCTAACTCTAGTGAGTCCTAGCTCTAGTGAGTTCTAGCTCTAGTAAGTCCTAGCTCTAGTGAGTTCTAACCTTAGTGAGTTCTAGCTCAAGTGAGTTCTAACCCTAGTGAGTTATAGCCCTAGTGAGTTCCAACTCTAGTGAGTTCTAGCCCTAATGAGTCCTAGCTCTAGCAAGTTCTAGCTCTAGTGAGTCCTAGCCCTAGTGAGTTCTAGCTCTAGCAAGTTCTAGCTCTAGTGAGTCCTAGCCCTAGTGAGTTCTAGCTCTAGTGAGTTCTAGCTCTAGCAAGTTCTAGCTCTAGTGAGTTCTAGCTCTAGCAAGTTCTAGCTGTAGTGAGTTCTAGCCCTCAGGAGTTCTAGCCCTAGTAAGTTCTAGCTTTCTTGAGTTCTAGCTCTAGTGAGTTCTAACCCTAGTGAGTTCTAGCTCAAGTGAGTTCTAACTCTAGTGAGTTCCAGCTCTAGTGAGTTCTAGCCCTAGTGAGTTCTAACTCTATTGAGCTCTAGTCCTAGTGAGTTCTAACTCTATTGAGCTCTAGTCCTAGTGAGTTCTAGCTCCAGTGAGTTCTAACCTTAGTGAGTTCTAACTCAAGTGAGTTCTAACCCTAGTGAGTTCTAGCCCTAGCGAGTTCCAACTCTAGTGAGTTCCAGCTCTAGTAAGTTCTTGCTCTAGTGAGTTCTAACCCTAGTGAGTTCTAGCCCTAGTGAGTTCTAACTCTATTGAGCTCTAGTCCTAGTGAGTTCTAACTCTAGTGAGGTCCAGTCTTAGTGAGTTCTATCCTTAGTAAATTCTAGCCCTAGTGAGTTCTAACTCTAGTGAGTTCTAGCCCTAGAGAGTTCTAGCTCTAGCGAGTTGTAGCTCTAGTTAGTGTTAGCTCTAGCGAGTTCTGGCCCTCAGGAGTTCTAGCCCTAGTAAGTTCTAGCTCTAGTGAGTTCTAGCTCTAGTGAGTTCTAGCTCTAGTGAGTTCTAACCCTAGTGAGTTCTAACCCTAGTGAGTTCTAGCCCTAGTGAGTTCTAGCTCTAGTGAGTTCTAACTCTAGTGAGTTCTAACCCTAGTGAGTTCTAACCCTAGTGAGTTCTAGCTCTAATGAGTTCCAGCCCTAGTGAGTTCTAGCTCTAGCGAGTTCTGGCCCTAGTAAGTTCTAGCTCTCGTGAGTTCTAGCTCTCGAGTTCTAACTCTAGCGAGTTCTAGTTCTAGCGAGTTCTAGCTCTCGTGAGTTCTAGCCGTAGTGAGTTCTAACTCTAGTAAGTTCTAGCCCTAGTGAGTTCTAGCTCTCGTGAGTTCTAGCTCTAGCGAGTTCTAGCTCTCGTGAGTTCTAGCCCTAGTGAGTTCTAGCCCTAGTGAGTTCTAACTCTAGTAAGTTCTAGCCCTAGTGAGTTCTAGCCCTCGGTTCTAACTCTAGCGAGTTCTAACTCTAGCAAGTTCTAGCTCTAGCGAGTTCTAGCTCTAGTGAGTTCTAGCTCTCGCGAGTTCTATCCCTAGTGAGTTATAGCCCTAGTGAGTTATAGTTCTATTGAATTCTAGCTCTAGTGAGAAAGTTCTAACTCTAGTGTGTTCTAGCTCTAGCGAGTTCCAGATCCTCTAGTGAGTTTTAGCTCTTGTGAGTTCTAGCTCTTGTGAGTTCTAGCCCTAGTGAGTTCTAGCCCTAGCCAGTTCTAGATCTAGCAAGTTCCAGCCCTAGCAAATTCTAGCTCTAGGGAGTTCTAACTCTAGCATGTTCCAGCTCTAGCGAGTTCCAGGTCCTCTAGTGAGTTCTACCTCTCGTGAGTTCTAGCCCTAGTGAGTTCTATCCCTAGTGAGTTCTATCTGTAGTTAGTTGGCAGAAGCAAAGCATCATTCTTTAACCACTTTGCTGGGATGCACGGGCCCTAGGTCATCAGAGGGAAAAAGTTCCAGTAAATGAGCTCACGGTGAAAACTTAGAAAACACAAGGGCAGCGCGGTGCCAGCTGAACCAGCATAGGAGCGAAGCACACGATAGAGATGAACATCTGGCTAGGAACCGTAAAAAAAAAAAAATAGGGGAGGGGGGTGTAGCCAGCTGGGGGGGGGAGGGAGGGGCGGAGCTGCAGGAGTGAGATTGGCATGCACTCAGCTGGAACAGAGGAACCGTTCAAAAAAAAAAAAAAAAAAAAAAAAAAAGAAAACACACAAGGAAGAAAGCCACCATGAGTGACAGCTGCAAGTAAGTTGATTAAAGCTCTGATAATGTGGAGTTACAGGACATCGATTTGCGAATGTGTAAGCAACGACTCCCATTCTCCTAAATGATAGTTCACTTATGTTTTACTCTCTCTTCTTTTCTCCTTCCTCCTTCCCCACTTCTTATTTCTTTAGAAATGCAATGATAGCCTTTCACCTCCTGTTCACCAGACACTTCCTACAGGGCAAGCTCATGTGCTTAGAGGTTCAGAGCAGAACTCTTGCCCGCAGGAGGCCGCCTCAAGAGACAAGTTGATTTACAGCCCAAAGTGTGCGTGCTGGAGTTTCCGGCCACCTTCACAGCCTCTTTCTGCCCATGGAGACGCCAACTCAACTTCCAGGTAGATAAGACACAGAGACCCTCCCACCTCCTCGCTTCCTCCCGACCTTTTAAAAATGCCTCTTTTGGCCAGGCATGGTGGTTCACGCCTGTAATCCCAGCACTTTGGGAGGTTGAGGCAGGTGGATCACCTGAGGTCGGGAGTTCAAGACCAGCCTGACCAACATGGAGAAACCCCATCTCTACTAAAAAATTAGCTGGGCGTGGTGGCACATGCCCGTAATCCCAGCTGCTCGGGAGGCTGAGGCAGGAGAATCACTTAAACCCAGGAGGTGGAGGTCGTGGTGAGCCGAGATTGCGCCATTGCGCTCCAGCCTGGGTGACAAGAGAGAAATTCCATCTCCAAAAAAAAAAAAAAAAAAAGCACCTCTTTCTGCTCCAAAAGCTAAGCCATACCCGTCAGGCATGAGGCCTGCACTTCGTCCCTCAAACCAGCTACAGAATAAAAAGTCACTTTCTTTCTACCAGACCTCATTCCTGTGACCTGGACTCTCTGAGCAGCAGTGAGCACCTGAGCATGCATCGTGGTTACAGCCAAACACAAAGAGTCGGTGGACAAGCACAGGAACGACGCATCAGCCGGGCGCGGTGGCCATGCCCGGAATCCCAGCACTTTGAGAGGACGAGGCGGGCTGATAGCTTGAGCTCAGGAGTTCGAGACAAGTCTGTGCAACATGGCGGAACTCCGTCTCTACGAAAATACAAGAAATTAGCCAGCATAGTGGAACCTGTAATCCCAGCTACTTGAGAGGTGGAGGCAGGAGAATCGCTTGAACCTGGGAGGCAGAGGTTGCAGTGAGCCGAGACTGCGGCACTGCACTCCAGTCTGGGCGATGTAGAACCAGACTGTGTCAAAAAAGAAAGAAAGGAAGGGAGGGAGGGAGGGAGGAAACCTAAGAGAACTTTGAAAACAAAAAATAGTCATTGAATTTTTTTTTGAGACAGAGTCTTGCTCTGTCGCCCAGGCTGGAGTGCAGTGGTGCGATCTTGGCTCACTGCAATCTCTGCCTTCTGGGTTTAAGCGATTTTCCTGCCTCAGCCTCCCAGGCAGCTGCAATTACAGGTGCACACCACCATGCCTGGCCAACGTTTTGTATTTTTAGTAGAGACAGGGTTTCGCTGCGTTGGCTAGACTGGTCTCGAACTCCTGACCTTGTAATCTGCTCACCTCGCCTCCCGAAGTGCTGGGATTACAGGCATGAGCCACTGCATTTGGCTGAAATTTTTAATAAAAGCAGTAGTTTGACAGTTCCTCAAAAGATAAACACAATTACCACATGATCTAGCAATTCTTTTCCCAGGCAGGTTCCCAAAGATTTATTTATTTATTTAAAAAAAAATTTTTTTCGAGATGGAGTCTCCCTCTGTCGTCCAGGCTGGAGTGCAGTGGCACAATCTTGGCTCATTGCAACCTCCGCCTCTGGGGTTCAAGTGATTCTCCTGCCTCAGCCTTGTAAGTAGCGGGGACTACAGGTGCACGCCACCACACTTGGCTAATTGTTGTATTTTTTGGTTGAGATGGGGTTTCGCCATGTTGGCCAAGCTGGTCTTGAACTCCTGGCCTCAGGTGATCCTCCCACCTCAGCCTCCCAAAATGCTGGGATTACAGCCATGAGCCACCACATCCGTCCTCCCCAAAGGTTTAAAAACAGGGGCTCAAGCAGATGTTTGTAGATGAATTTTCAGAGAAGTACTTGTTCACAACAGCCAGAGGTGGAGATGGCCCAGATGCCCCTCAGCTGTGTACAGAGAAACAGCACGTGGCCTGGCCACGTATTACTCAACCACGGAAAAGGAGGAAGCTGACACAGACTTCCACGTGGACAAAGCCTTGATATCGTGCTAAATGAAGAAGCAAGTCACAAAAGACCCCATGTTATATGATCGCATGTGTGTGAACTGTCCAGAAGTGGCAAATCCGGAGGCAGAAAGCAGGTGAGCGGTGACTGGGCCTGGGGCCGAGGGGAGTGGGGGCATGTGTGTGATGGGTCCGGGGTTTGCGGGTGAGCGGTGACTGGGCCTGGGGCTGAAGGGAGTGGGGGCGTCTCTGTGATGGGATCGCTGGCCCCTCCTCCCTTCGAGCCCCTCACTGGTCTTCACTCCTCATTACTGATCCCCTCAGCTACAGAGAGCCCCCCGCTGTGCATGGAGAAAACAACGTGAGCCTCCCCACCCCAACCCCCTCCGGGCGTCCCCCCCAGTCCGCCTCGGTATCCCCCCACCCCAACCCCCTCTGGGTGTCCCCCCCAGTCCGCCCGCCAGTATCCCCCCTCCTCCCCAACCCCCTCTGGGCATCCCCCTCAATCCCCTTGCTGGTATCCCGCCCACCCCAAACCCCTCCGGGCGTCCCCCCCAATCCCGCCCGCCGGTATCCATCTTCCCCGCTGCTGGCTGGCATCCCCTGCACTGAGCTGTTGGCTCCACTCACAGCTTCAGTGGTGGGGGGTGGGGGTGGTCCCATGGGCTCAGCAGTAACAGAAGGCCCCCCGAGGGGCTGTTAGAACAGGGCCACCCTGTTAGAACAGGACCACTCTGGGAAGCCGAGGCAGGCAGATTTGCTTGAGGTCAAGAGTTCAAGATTAGCCTGGCCAACATGGCGAAACCCTGTCTCTACTAGAAATACAAAAATAGCCAGGTGTGGTGTTGCACACCTGTAATCCCAGCTACTCAGGAGGTTGAGGCAAGAGAATCACTTGAATCTGGGAGGCGGAGGTTACAGTGAGCCGAGATTGTGCCACTGCACTCCAGTCTGGGTGACAGAGCAAGACTGTCTCACAAAAAAAAACCAAAAACAAAAAGACAGGACCGCCCCATCACAGGCTGCTGGGCAGTGGGGCTGGGAAGGGTCCAATGAACCAGGGAAACCCCACTCTGGGACTGCGTCTACTCCAGGCCCTAGCCCTGTTCCAGCCCTGCCTCCTCCTCCTGCCCCTCTCCCGGGTTGCTCTCATTCGCCCAGCATACAGGCTCCCCTCTCATTTTAGAGGAACACCCACAGCCCTCCCAGACCATCAACAGTCCCATTTCCCCCCTTTATATTGCAGACTGCCCCAAGGAGTTCTCCAAAATCCTGGTCTCCATCTCCCTCCTGTGGGGGCACCTGGTGTCTATGCCACCATATGGGGGTCTCCAGGACCTCCACGTGCAGCCAGCTCTAGGGTTGGGCTTCTCTTCAGCACCCAGGACCCCAAAGGATCTCATCTTCAAGATTCCTGGCCCACCCAGGGCCCCTGGGCAGGTGGCATTCACCAGCTTGCTGGAACCCGGGAATGTGATGGAGGCGCCAGGAGGAGGTGAGAGAATGAGGAGGAGGCGAGGGCACGGGAAGGAGGTGAGGGCGCGGTGGGGGGGGGGTAAGAGCACAAGGAGGAGGTAAGAGCACGAGGAGGAGGTAAGAGCACAAGGAGGAGGTGAGAGCGAGAGAAGGAGGTGACAGCGTGAGGAGGAGGTGAGAGCGCGAGGAGGAGGTGAGAGCGCGAGGAGGAGGTGAGGGCGCGGGGGTGCGGTAAGAACACGAGGAGGAGGCAGCCAGGGCGCGGGGAGGCGGCGAGGGCACAGGCACAGGTTCCCCATGACGATGAAACGCACTAGGGCCTCATGACTGTCAGTGGGGCCTGAAGCAGTTTGCAGCCCTGTCTGTGTAGAAACAAGTGCTGCTCAAAGGAGACGCCAGGATGAACATCAGGACATAGGGACGAAAGGACGGTGGAATCCCACAACTTGGACACGTGGGGGCGCGGAGGGCGGGACCCAGGGAGGCTCACACCGCACACACAGCTGCCAGAGAGCGAGGGAGACTGAGCGTCACAGACAAAGGTCCGACAAGAGCCTGGAAACGGAACAGAGGGAAATCTCAAAGGCAAGGACAGAGATTTACAAGCTGGAGGCCCAAGAAGCCACCGAGCTGACGGACAAACAAAAGCTGGCAGAGGCGGGTGCAGGAGGGAGGCAGACGCAGAGCAGGCAGCGCCAGGGCTGGGGTTGGAGGGCGTCCCCTGGGCCTGCAGGAGCAACCTCGGGCCAGCAGACGCGGCACTCAGGACTTGGCAACCTCCTGTGCACAGGCCATTGCCACTAAGGAACCGGAATCCGCGTCTGCCCCCACGGGTGGCCAGCCCTCCCTCTGCAGCCTCTCCCCGGCCTCTCCCACCCAGCCTCCTGCCCTGCTCAAGTCCCACCCCTTCCTAAGGCCTCCCTGCCCTGGACACCTGCCCCAGTGGCCACCCCGGGTCTGGGTGCCCTGGTGGTGGCAGGATGGGGCCTCAGGCCTGGCAGTGCTGGTGACAGCTGTGTCCCTGCAGATGAGTGGACCCTGCACCTCCCAGAGGTGACCTCAGAGGGGCTGCTGGGGCCAGGCAGGGCCTTTACCACCCTGGGGCCTTGAGGAAGACCGCCCCCTGCCCCACACAGGCCACCCTGGATGCAGTCTGGGGCAGCCACTACCGCAGGACCCTGTGGCCGTGGGGGGCTGTGCAGCTTCCCGAACAGGGAGGCCTCCTGTTAGGCCAGTCTCTGCCCAACAGTCAGTTCTGCCAGCTGTGACTCTGCCACCCGTGGCAGCCACGTCCACTTACCTGCTGCCGCTCCCGCGTGGACCACAGGGTCTGCAGGGCCTGCAGGAGCAGGAGGGGGTCCTGGCCTGTGGAGACAAGATAACAGCCGTGGGAGGGGCAGGTGCAGGAACTGCGGCATAGCCAGCTGGGAAGTCCCTCCCACTGACCCACAATGCCTGGGGCTCCTCTGGACCTGGGGGCCGGGAGCCCTCCCCCACCTCTGTCGGGCACACACATACCCGCCAGGTGCGGCGGCACCCACTCTGGCCCAGGCTCACCCCTGTCCCTTCCCTGTGGCCCGTAGCCACCCAACCAGCTGAGTCCGCCCGGCAGCATTTCCATGCTCAGCCCTGGGAGCTGGGCCTCATCTTTCAGCTGCAGTCACAGAGCAGCCCTTGTGGGCCTGAGCCTCTACCTCCTCCGCCCAGCGCCCTGGGCAACCTCATCAGCATCTTCTCGCCCAAACCCTGCACCACAGTCCTGGCACCATGAGGACCCCAAGCCCCTGCCCTCTTTAGGTCTCAGTCCCTGGCCCTCCTGCACCGCCCCCTCCCTCCAGTCACAACTGGGAGGCCCCCACCTCACTGTGCAAGCTCTGCAGCAAAAGTGCTGACCCACAGACAGAGCCACCAGAGTGAGACCCGAGGGAGGTTTCCAGACAGAACCTGGGGGCTGCATGGCTTGGGGAGGCCGGTGGCGGCCCAACCCCACCCAGGGGAGCAGGGACCCACCCAGGCCTGGTCACATGGTGGGGTCAGGGTCGGAGGCCAGGGAGCGGCGGCTGCCAGCAGGGACTCCACAGGGGAGGCCTGGGGGCAGGAGCCTGGGTGGATTCCGCAGTGAACTCCCTCCGGACCTGGGGGTCATGGAAGCTGCCGGGCCCCCCTGGAGGGCAGGACGGGAACAGGAAGACCCCGTGTTGCTGCAAGGGAGGCTGAGGACTCACATGAGATCAGATCAGACCCCAGCAGCTGGATTCTGCCACACACGCCAGAGGAGCGTGCGGGACGGGGGTCACCCGGGAGAGCCAGGCTGACACCTCGATAGCCCAAGGGTGTGATTCAGCCCAGCACCGGAATGGAGGAGAGAACCACGAGGCCCTTTCGGTAGACACAGAGCAAGTGTTCCAAAATTCAGTTCAGCTCACGATGTGAGAAGTAACTCGCCCCGAACTGGGTAAAAGCCATGCGCAAGTGTGAGGCGTGGTGCTCAGGGCAGTGTGTGAGGATGCCCCAGCCCGGCCTGGAGCTGTCCCACGCGGGTGGCATCCAATGCAGAAGGGAAACAGAAACATGAGGACCCGCCGACAATGGGATTATGCAGAAAGCCACGAAGGATCAAAACTACGCTGTTAGAATTAACCAGTGGGTGCGGCATCAATGCTCAGCACAAGCCGAAGTGAGAAAATCAGCCACAAACAGAAATGGCCATTTCAAAAATCACTTAGAACAGCATCGGCAACGTCAGAGTCCCCGGGAGAAATCTCACAAAAGGAGCTCATGCAAAACCAAACCCAGTCGGTTGTCGTCCCAGCACTTGGGGAGGCCGAGGCGGGTGGATCATTTGAGGTCAGGAGTTCGAGACCAGCTTGGCCAACGTGGTGAGACACCATCTCTACTAAAAATACATTAGCCGGGCATGGTGGCGAGCGCCTGTGGTCCCAGCTACTCGGGAGGCTGAGGCAGGAGAATGGTGTGAACCCGGGAGGCGGAGCTCGCAGTGAGCTGAGATCGCGCCACTGCACTCCAGCCTGGACGACAGAGCGAGACTCCGTCTCAAACAAACAAAAAACTCATAAAACATCGTGGGCACCCGGGCTCCACCACTGCGGCTCTGCTGCCACCCGGGCCTGGACGGCACGGGGCCAGCGTTCCCATCTGCGCTCAGAACCGTCCCACCATCGCACACAGTGTCCCGGACACAGAGGCTGAGAACACCCAAATGTCCACTGTAGGAGGACGGAGCAAGTGGATCAGCCCCGGGATGATGCCCAGGTGGGCAGGACGTACCCCACCACGTGGCCATGGCAGGCAGTGTGACCGGCCCCGCGTTCTGGGTGCTGGGCATGGCTGGGGATGGGGCCTGGCAGGGCTGGGCCGGGGAAGAGGACCTGGCGGGCCTGGGCAGAGCATGCTGTGGTGTGTCACGATCACGTGCCGAGCCCCCATCGCGTGTTCTGCGTTCCTTCCTACATGTGGGCTACGCTTCACAATAAACAAAACAGACTTTTATTTTATGTTATTTAATATTTTATTTAGAGATGGAGTCTCACTCTATCGCCCGGGCTGGAGTGCAGTGGCGCGATCTCGGCTCACTGCAACCTCCGCCTCCCGGGTTCAAGTGATTCTCCTGCCTCAGCCTCCCGAGCAGCTGGGATTACAGGCGCCGGCCACCACCACACCCGGCTAATTTTTGTATTTTCAGTAGAGACGGGTTTTCACCACATTGGCCAGGCTGGTCTCAAACTCCTGAGCTCAGTTGGTCCGTCCACCTCAGCCTCCCGAAGTGCTGGGATGACAGGCGTGAGCCACCGTGCCCAGCCCAGATTTTCTTTTAAAGCAGAGCTTCAGATGCGTGAGATGAGAAAGTTCTGCAGGTGGACGGTGGTGGCGGCTCTGCAGCCACGTGAATGCACTTAATGTCACTGAATGTACACAGGAAAGTGGTTAAAATGGTAAATTTCATGTTATGTGTATTTCACGTTTTTAAAGGCAGGTGAAGCTGGGTGCGGTGGCTCACGCCTGTCATCCCAGCACGTTGGGAGGCTGAGGGGGGTGGTTTGCTTGAGCCCTGGAGTTTGAGACCAGCCTGGGCAATACAGCAAGACCCCATCTCTACCCAAATACATAAATAAAAGTAGCTGGGTATGGTGGCACGTCTGAGGTCCCAGCCACTCGGGAGGCTGGGGTGGGAGCATGGCTGGAGCCTGGGAGGTTGAGGCTGCAGTGAGCCCTGATTTTGCCACTGCCCTCCAGCCTGGGGGACAGAGTGAGAACCTGTCAATCAGTCCATCCTTCAATAAGCAGCGTGTCCTTATTATTCTCTTTAAGTTTTACTGAATCGAGACCCACCTTTCCAGGTGGGAAGCTGGTGATGTCAGCCTCTCCCCTCCCCAGTCAGTGTTGCTGGTCTTCGCCCCTGCTCAGGTCCTGCTGGTTCTGCCCTCCAGGAGGGCAGGGTCTGCCCAGGGTCTCCTCTCCCACCTCCCACCGACCTGGGCCACTCCGGCTTCCCAGGGGCCTCCCTGCCTCCACACTGTGCCCACAGACAACGCCCAGCCCCGCAGCACAGCACAGCCCTAGGATCCTACAGAAACATGGGGTGGGCCAGGCCACTTCTTTGTGGACGCCACCGTGGCCCCCTTGAAAGTCAAAGCCAGGGCCTACCACACCCTCCCAGCTTCCACCCTCCAAGTGACCCGGACCCTGCCCCTTGGGCCTGAGGCTGCTTCCTGAGCACCTAGTAGCCTGCCCGGGAGTCCCCTCAGCACCCCTGCTCCCTGCCTGGCCCCCTCAGTGCCCCTGCTCTGTGCCTGGACCCCTCAGTGCCCCTACTCCTTGCCTGGCCCTCTCAGCGCCCCTGTTCTGTGCTTGGCCCCCAGCCACTGCTCCCTGCCTGGCACCTGGCCCCTGCCCTTCTGCCCCCGTCACTTCACTGTGGCCTTGACACTGAGTCCCAGGGCAGTGACCGCCTGGATCTCCTTCCAGGCCATGGCCGGTGCACAATGGACACTTCACGGTGCCCGCCCCGGCCGTTCCAGGGCCAGCCGTGCACACATGGTGCTCACAGCCCATGCGACTGGGGAGCCCCGGGGAGCCCCGAGTCTCTCGGGCCAGAGCTGGAGGGACCTGCGGCAGGTGTAGCCGGACAAGTCTCTGCCATGCCGGGCTCGGACACGGCCATGCTGACACTCATCTCACACAATCGCTGGCTTCCTGTTCGTACAACAGAAGAAAAACAGGATGTCCAGGGGCGGCTTCTGTCTGAACGAAGAAGACAAGCGAGCCCTGTGAGCTCCGGGGCTCAGCAGTGAGAGGACAGGGTGCCTGGGAGGGACCTGGGGGACACACCCCGCTCAGTACACAGCACCCCACGCACCCCAACTCAGGGATATCACGCAGGGGCATGGGGTCTGAGAAGGATGGGTGGGGCTTGGAGCTGACACCGAGGGACCTCCCAGACCCGCTGTCCGGCCCCAGAAGCCCCAGCCAGCCCTCCCTGAGGTCGCCTCCTCCTGCGGTGGCTTCTGGAGGCCTTTGGTCCCCAGCGTGGACGTTCGGCCGGAGCTCCGCGGGTGGCCTCTGGCCCCCACCTCCACACCCAGGCCCAAGTTCACAGAGTTCACCAAGTTCCTCAGCGGCGCACCGATGCCTGGGACCTGCAGACAGGCAGGTCTGGGACGCTGAGACAGATGGCCCTGGCCAGGAGGCTGACCCCTGACCCCGGACCAGCCTCCTGGAAGCGTGTGGGTTGGGGCAGAATGGGGCAGCTGTGTATCAGGAGGACACATAAAAGAAACTCAAGCTCAAGAATAAAAGTCCCACAGTCCCCCGAACGTGGATTCACATCCAAGAGCTGGGCCACTTCTCCCTGGGGGGCTGAATCATGGCCCCTGCCCAGCACCGGTGCCCGGTGCCCGCACTGGCTTCCCCCCCAGCCACCCTCCCCAAAACATGCCTGGGAGGGCTCAGAACTCTGTGGGGTTGGCCTGAGGGTGCCCAGGCAGAGGCGGCCAGGACGGCTCCACCACCTGTCCCCAGGACAGTTTCCAGCTGACACCCCTGTCCCAGCCGACGGGAAGATGGATTGTTGCGGGAATACAGGACGGGCAGAACACAGGGACGCCACTTCCTCCAAACAGCACTCGGCTAACGGGGCTGCCTTCGCCCTGAGACACAGACGCACTCCAGGAAACTGTGGGCTGCGGAGTGGATGGCACCAAAGGCTCTGTTATTCCCGGCACGCTGCCATAAAGCGGGGGTGAGAAACACAGGGGGCTTTTTATCCACAGGGTTGGGAGCACAGAAGCCCCAGGAACTGAGGCCGACCCCAGCAGCAGACGCCGGGCAGGGGACACCGGGCAGTG